TTGAAAAGAAAAAAAAAAATAATAGCAGATATTTATTTGCACAGTAGATGTTTTAAAATGTTGTGATTATCAGGCCAGTGAGAGAGAAGCAGAGGGAAAAGGATTTATTCCACTTCCCAGACCCATAGCAGCAGGATGCAATTCTGACATTGTCACAGAAATGCTATGCTCCAACAGACTCTGAACTCTCCTGGAAATATGACATTTAATGCTGTTGCAGAACAGAGCAGTAGTAGCTACTGACTCCCCAAGGGCTTGAAATCTGATCTGATGGGAAATGGTTTCCTTTGAAAATCTGTCAGAAAACTAGAAAAAGTGAACATCTGAAAATTTAGTCTACAGTAATTCTTGGGATCAGAAAACGTAGAAAATTTTGCCCTGCAGGCAGCACACCCAAAACTCACTCAAGGAAATGATAAAAGTAGGAGAACTTGTAGTGGCCTTAAAATGCAATTAAAATTAGAATTCAGTCACTTCTTCTGTATTGTCAGATCATTTTGAGGTGTCTTCTGACTACATGCCCATAGTTTGCACACATATAATACCATGCTAGCCTACAACCTTTATTATTATTATCATCATTACCAGAGCACTCTTAACAGTAAGGCACTCAATGCACTATTTCCCTCTAATCCATCTACAGCCATGCTAGCTCATCTAGTAAAGTGAATCCAAGCTAAACATGAGCCTTTTTGTTGTCCTGTTTGCAGGGATGTGAGCCAGACACTGGCACCATGAGTAATAAATGGCCATGGAACAGTGAGTCCATTGTGGACTCAGTAATAAAATGGCAAGTGGAACTTCAGTGTTGATAAATGCAGAATAATACATAGCCCTAGCAATATACACATAGTAAGGGGAGGTAGCCACCTCTGACCATGTACAGCATTTCTTAGGAACTACCATTAATTTTGGCATCTCTGATTGCTCCCTCTTGCTTTTTATACGAATGGAGACACTGCTCCACATTGTTGTTTCTCTTTTCCTTTCAGATGGCTCTCAAGTGCTGCTTTCCTCCTGTATCTTAATGGCCTCTACAGCCTGCATTTCAGAAGCAATAAAATTTTATTACTCACAAAGAGGAGGAGAAAAAAGATAATTGGGTGAAGATCAGAGAAAGGAAAGGAAGAAATTTCATTTTTTTTTATTTCTATTGTTGTGATGAGGCTTAAAGGGATTACATTGCTGCAGATGCAAAGGTAGGAGGCACTGTTGATGCAGGAGATGTTGTGATCACCACAAAGGGAAGTGCAGGCAGAACGGGAGTGTTCCACCACTTTTTGATGGAAGCCCTCCTGAATGTAAAACAATGACTTCCAGTGAGTGACCCATATTTAAAGAAATGTTAATCATTTCAGAATGAGCAACAAAATCCTAGTACCACATCGTGGTAAATACGTACAGTAAGCAGCCAAGTTGGGTGATGTTAAAATTGTGTGGAAAGGACATTTGCATTTCTGACCAGTGGTGGAAAAATTGATTTTGGACTAAATTTTAAAAATTATGTGCATGAAAAAGACAACGATTTTGGAGGAAACATACTCCAAACTAATTTACAAGAAACACTGAAAATGTCAAACAACTCTGAATACAGACGTTACCATGAGTTTTAATTGCAACACACACAAAGCAGACATGAGGGCTATTGCAGTTGACATTTCTCTTTACAAAAAGTCCTAGATAATCAGTGCTACTATGTTGCAGCATTAAATCATCAGCATTTTTTATTTTATTTTATTTTATATTATTTATTATATTTTTTCTCCTTGTAATCTGGTAGGCACAAGGGTTAATGCTCTGTTTTAGTAGACTATTTAATATCACAAGTGATTGATTGCTCACTTGTTGAAATGCATTAAAACATAGCATTTCAACAATCCAATGGATTCTAATGTTCTGTGAGGATACTTAATCTCTTGATTTGTTAATTGAGAGAGGAAAATACCAGCTTTCATCCTCTGAGCTAGATATTTTCCAGAAACCTTTAACCGTATATTCATCAGGCTTTAAACAGCTTTACATATGTGAGGGAAGCTCAGATGACATGATTATAAACAAGCAAGTAACATTACAACAAGAAGCAGAGCATTATGATTTAAACTTCTTAAGCAGGTATCTAGCTCTTATAGGTAAAGAAATGATTCTACTTAATTTTGATATATCTATTCTGTTTGTTCATACTTAATACATCAGCAACAGAGGTCAGTTACATGCTCCTGTGATTTTAAGGGACGCTTTCACAGAGCTGACAGGAATATCCAAAGGAAACAAAATTTCCATCAGTGTCATTAAAAAGAGCCATGACTACTACAAAACAGTCTGCAGGAAAACAAATAGTAAAGGCTCTTACACTTTGAATTTTTCACTTACTGGCTGTTTGAGGCACACCTCAGCTTCCGTAAGACTATGCAAAAGAAAACAAAACAAAAACAAACTGAACAGTCAAACAAAGAAAGCATGAGGTCTATTGCAAAGTCTGCAGTTCTGTTGTAGAAAAAAAAGAAAAGAAAAAAGAAGAGAGCAACAACAACAAAACCCTTCAACAACTATTTTAAAAAATTCTAGTTGATTTATTTCAACAAAAACCTGCAGCAAATTGCCTTCCTTTCCTTTTCATTCTATCCTCTCACATAATCAGTTTTGCTGTTTCTGTGGCAACTTTATTGCTAAGGGTTAGCTCTGTGAGTAAATTGGAACATTATCTGCAGTTGTGCAAGTTATTTCTCTGGAAAACCACATTGTTAGAAATATAACTGTTTAAAAGCAATGATTACTATTTACTAACAT